GCATAGACGGCTTTATAATGACAATAGAAACCAGGGAATGTCCTATAACGGCAGTAATAATCATTGCCTCCATTTTCCTCATTCTAATCGCCATGCTATGGTTCCCAGTCAACAGGAGAGCACATAACCGCAGCTTGACTTGACCGCAACATCGCGAGAAATAACCAAAACTTCAAACGCAGGCAAGGTAATCGAGTATTTTCGAGCCAGAGGACTACCTCCGACTGCTCTGACTAGCATATTCGGAGACATCTAGGTCTGAGAGTGCAAGAGGTTGATTATTTGAGCCGATATGGCGGCGTCAAAGAAGGAAGGTCCCCAAAACCGAGAATAGTCGCCCAAAAAGCGAAAAAACAACCATGAAGATATGTGTAAAGTCAATAAAAGGAACGAGAGTTAAAAGATGCCAAGAGGATTTCGGGATAGGCCATACAAAAGCAGTCGAGTGGTAAACAATATACCACAATGTATGTTCGACAGCCCTCATCAGACAAAGGAAACGGATCAGCGGACTGGGAATGAAAGGGCACATCGATGAAATATTACTAAACCCGTCGTAAATACAATGCAGACGAACAAAGAAAACAGTTTCGAATGGTTGGTATGCACAATACCAACCGAAGACGGGCCCTTAATAAACAGGTAAACACATGAAGCTGACCAGCACTAAAGGTATGTGGCCAAAGGAAGTGCCATCGTAGCCGACAAATTGAAGACCTAAAGATGCCTGCTATCTAATGGGTAGGGAGAATTTTCAGTCAGCGCATCAATCAATTTTAAAGGTCCTTCCACGGGAAGACCTACTAATGCGTTTGAGATGTGCTGGGGCGGAATGAAAAGGGAGCTTCACGCAGGAGGACCGGTATCAGGTAGGGTCATATAGACAAATTTAGAGGAAATGCAATATTGTCTGCGGTTTACCCTGAACACAGCCGAAAGGAGGCCAGCTTGGGGAACTTTCCTCTTGCAAATGGCGGAGATGTACTCCCTGCAAGAAAATCCTGGACGAAGAACGTGTCAAAACCAATTTGTCGCACGCATTTAAGCAGATTCCTCTGCATAGAGGTTAATACGAATCGGACTAACCGACGACGGCTGAAGCGGTAGTGTCAACGGGAATCACATTGAGCCGGAAGTTGTCACAGGTGAACACTATTTGCGAACAATGATCTACGCCAACTTGCGACAACGTCTTCACTGAGAACAGCAGTGAGGAACGGTAACAAATCCCTGAAGCCAAAGTCAAGTGTGGTCTACGGATAGGATACGAAGACCCATCCGACGACAAGGAAATACTGTGCGACACGAACAAAACGGCAACTGCTGAGCCAAGGAAAGTTGATACCAAATCAAAATAACATGCATGTTACCGTTCTCTGGGCAAACACAGCCCATCCAACAAGAGCCTGCATCAGCTAAACGGTAGGTGAAGGTTGAACGTAGCAAGGAAAGTGAGTCAACAGCGAGGAGACCAAAAACTAGAAGAACAATGAACGGAGCTGAAGACCAGAATCGTGGCACACCTAACTGAACTCGTTGTATGGTGATTACCGACACGATCCTATAAGGCCTGCAAGTCTTTGGCGGTACAAATCTCGAAGTTGAAACGTATAAGCTACCTCATAGCACGTAATTTTCCATTGATAACGAACCTGCTTCGCGAATCTGCAAATACGGTAGTATCAGGATGCGAAGCAAGACATGACGGATGACGTCCTAAACCCCGAATATGAAGGACCAAGCAGGGCCCACGTCGACAAAACCAGTTATGGATATTAAACCCAATGAGTTACACACCGCGTCCTTACGTCTGCCCCTACGAAGTCACCGCCCGGTTTCCCAAACTCTGTCAGCTAGGTATACTAATTACTAGGTTCCTACTCGAACTCAAACATATCCACAAATTCCACTCCAGCCGAGCCATTCCTACCCCTACCATCAACTATAGAGCGCCCAAACTCAGATTGCATAGTTGCATATCCTTTGCGTTCTTGCCAGTGATTTTTAAACCACA